CGAAACCAGGGATTCGAGCAACAATGTCTTAAGTGCCTAAGCAAAGAACATCTGAGAAAAGACTGTACGTCTGATTGGCGATGCTCCCTCTGCAATGAGCTTGGGCACAAGCGAGCTGACTGTGCTGGTCTTTCAGCAGCCGGTGTCAACAGTAGAGAGGCGCCAGAGGAGCAGAGAGATCGGGACAAGGACCGCGGCCCTCTGCTTGACGTCTCAGGCCTTAACTTACCGGAGGTTCGATCCTCTGAAGACACTGATGGTGAAACTGGAAAAGACGAAACGGCTCCACCGACTAGTGGGCAACGCCAGATTACAGACTTCACCACAAAAAGAGGCAGGAGAAAGAGAGGGAAAGGTCCCAAACCTGGAGGTCAGCCGGTTGCCAGAGTGACAAGAAGTGCTGCCAAGAACAGTGACAATAACGTATCCAGAAGAGGATTGGCTAGACCAGAGCCACCCAGTGGTAGCAGCCAAGTACATGAACCTGATCCTAGGATCACGGAACTGATTGAAGCAGGTCGTTACTCATGGAGTAACCCTCCAGGTACTGAGGCGATCAGCTCATCGATGTGCTCAAGTGACGACGAAACATGAACTCTTACGGACTATTGAACTCGTGTAAGTGATTAATTTGTTCCTCATGACAACTAATATATCATTTATGTCACTTAATGTCAGGGGATTACGAGGTACACAAAAGAGACGAAGTCTATACTACTGGTTTGAAAAACAAAAAGCTGATGTTTTCCTTTTACAGGAGACATATTTTACAGATGATAAAATTAATATCTTTGAATTAGATTGGAATGGCCCCCAGTTCCACGACTTTGGTGGACAACACAGTAAGGGTGTGTCTATACTGTGCAAGAAAAACATAAAGTTGGACGTTATGGAGGTAATAAAGGGGCAGGATGGTAGAAGATTAATGATTAAATGTAAAGACTTCACTCTCTTGAATGTGTACGCTCCTTCCGAGCGGGGAGAACAAGTATCGTTTCTCACTACGCTAAAAGACTGGATAGTGGTAAACAATGTGGATAATCTTGTCGCAGGTGGTGATTTTAATATGATTAACGATCTGGTCTTAGACAGGTCCAGCAAGAGACAAACCCAATTTACTGCACCTGAAAAAGCACTTAGCAGCTTTAAAAAAATGTTAAGCCTCGTAGACATATGGCGGGAAACACATCCCCATGTACGACAGTACACCTGGAGGAGACAAAATCCAGACCCTGTTTCAAGCAGATTGGATTTTTGGCTTATCCACAGATCGCTAGCTGCGCATGTAGCAAAATGCGATATAAGATCTTCTATTAAAACAGATCACCTTGCAATATTTTTGAAACTACATTTCGAAAATGCTTCTAGGGGACCTGGATTTTGGCGCCTAAACACTTCACATCTCAGTGATGAGAAATATGTTAAAGGAGTTAAGTCTACAATACAAACTGTTGTTAGTGATTGTAATTACCTTGATGTATCCAAACAACTAGTTTGGGAAACTTGTAAGAAGAAGATTAAGGAGTTCTCTGACACCTATTCCAGGGCTAAAGCCTTTAAAGTGGATACAACACTTGAAAAGTTAGAAAAGAGACTTCAAGAACTAGAGAGTAAGTTAGATGATAACCTTGAAGACATTGTTCTAAATGAATACACTCAAATAAAGCTAAAATTGGAAAATATATATGAATATAAAGCAAAAGGAGCACAAATTAGAGCTAGGGCAAAGTGGACAGAGAAGGGAGAAAAGTCTAACAAATTTTTCTTGAATCTTGAAAATACTCGCTCAAAACAAAATACCATTACTAAATTAAAGAATGGAAATGAAGAAGAGACAAATCCGTTTAAAATTTTAGACTTGGAAGTAAACTTTTACAAAAACCTGTATTGTTCTAAGAACCCTGTTACTGATGAACAGATTGATACTTTTCTTGAGTCTGTTGAGGTACCCTCTCTCACAGATGAGGAAATGCTACTGTTAGATGAACCTATAACTAAAAATGAATGTTTCGCAGCATTGAAAGCGATGAACCAAAACAAAGCGCCTGGAATTGATGGCCTTCCTACCGAATTTTATCTGAAATTCTGGGATGAAGTAGGAGACTTGGTCTTCGAATCCCTGTGTGAAGCAATAGAAAGCAAATACCTTTCCGTGTCCCAGAAGAGAGCTTTGTTAAAACTTATTCACAAAAAGGGGGATAAGACTAACTTATCCAACTGGAGACCAATTAGTTTGTTGAACACTGACTACAAGATACTAGCTGTGGTATTAGCAAGACGAATGCAGAGTTTCTTACCGAAACTAATTTCAGAAGATCAGACGGCTTATATTAAGTCAAGGTTTATAGGACAAAATGTTAGATTGATACAAGATGTTATTTATTATTCTAATTTTTACAACCTACCTGCAGCAATCGTCTGGCTTGATTTTAAAAAGGCATTCGATTCAGTTAACTGGAATTTTATGTTTAGAACGTTAAATAAGTTTGGTTTTGGACCTACTTTCACTTCAATAGTTAGAACAATGTATACTGATATTGAAAGTTGTATCGTCAATGCAGGTTGGAAGTCTGCCTACTTTAAATTACAACGAGGAATTAGACAGGGATGTCCCTTATCTGCCTTATTATTCAACCTTGTAGTTGAAATTCTAGCATCTAAAATCCGGCAAACTAGCATTGTTGAAGGAATCAAAATTGAGATTAATGATATCATTCTTGAAACAAAAATAAGCCAGGTCGCTGACGATACAACTCTCACCTTGTGTGGTGATAACTCTATAAAATGTGCCCTACAGATTGTAGACAATTTTAGTTATGTTGCTGGGCCCACGTTGAATCGAAAGAAGTGTGAAGCCATGTGGATAGGGGCCAATCGAGGAAGAAGAGATACTCCTTTCGGAATCGATTGGCCGAATAGGCCCGTTAAGTCCTTAGGTATTTATTTTGGTTACACGGAGGAAGAGTGTGAGATGTTGAACTGGGAAACCAGAATACAGAACATGGAAAATTTACTTCAGAAATGGCGTAGGCGAAAACTAACTTTTTATGGGAAAGTCTTGATTATTAAGACGTTGGCAGTATCACAAATAATTTACAATATGAGTATGATCCCAACACCTGATTGGGCCCTAAAACGAATTGAAAAAGCATGTTTCTCCTTTCTTTGGAATGGTAAACCAGACAAAATAAAAAGAAAAGTACTGTACTTAAACTATGAAGATGGTGGGATTAGGATGATTGACATATATGCTAAATGTAAAAGCCTACAAGCTTCTTGGGTCCGTAGGATTATGGAAAATCCAAAGGACCCAAGTAGAGTAAGTAGATGGAGACTTATACCTATGCACTTCATTGAAAAGCTTGGGAAAAACTTTTTAGTCTTTCGATTTAATTTTAAACAAAGGGCTGATGCACCCCCTTTGTTAAGTCTTCCACCTTTCTATAGAGAGGTAGTTTACGCATGGCATGAAATGGGTGGAGGAAAAACGGATCTCGCTTCGGTGCGAAATGAAATTATTTGGTCCAATGAAAACTTTAAACTTAATAAGAAAACACTTTTCTTCAAAAACTGGATTGATAGTGGTATCATTTATGTTAGAGATATATATATTGCTTCAGATTTCATATCGTCAGAGTCTTTGCTGAGGAAGCTAACTAATAAACACAATTGGTTGTGTGAGTATTCTTGTATTAAGAGGTCAATAGGACGAAAATTGTGTAATGACGATTCTGCAGCAAATTTATGTAATGAAAATGACATGATATGGTACAATGAGACATGCAAAATAGTGGATATGTTTACTAGCAAGTATCTATACTCAACATATGTGTCATATACATGTAGCAAACCAACTGCCCAAGCTTATTGGGAAACTGTAGTACCTAATCCAGACTGGAAGGCTATATGGAAATGTCAGATCTGTCAAATTAAGAATAACAAACTGCGCGAATTTAATTTCAAGTTATTACACAGAATTTTGCCTTGTAGGTACTTGCTACATAAGTGGAAAATACGAAATGTATCAGGAAATATTTACAGTCCTTACTGTGAATTGTGCAACAAACTTGAAAATTATCAACATATGTTTTTAGAGTGTCATAGATTAGACAACTTCTGGAGTAGGATAGAAAATGAAACACACATTGTTATTAATGATCAAGAAGTGTTACTTGTGAGAAATAGTAGTGCAAAAATCATAACTGTTGCTAAATACGCAATATTTATTTCTTGGTTAAAATGGAAAGATGATTATAGAAAGAAAGATGATGTATTCCTAATTTTCATGAATTTGTGTCAAACTTATATTTGATTTTCAGTTAAATTATCAGTATTTTCAAGTATGATATGTATATGATGTTCACTAGCAAGTATCTATACTCAGACAATTTCTGGGAAAATGAAACTCATTTGGTTATCAATGATTATAACTGTTGTTAAATACGTATACTTATATTCACATTGTATGATCATGTATCTTATGTATATGACTTAAGAGCTTTGAAGAATAAAATCGTTCAAAAAAAAAAAAAAATGAGCAACATCTTAAGCATTGGTAACAAAACATGCATGCTACTACTAATTCTAAACGGTAAGGATCTACTATATTTACAGCGATTCTAATCAGCGATTCTAATTACTAAAACGATAACAGATGGGAGATTGCACCATCACCTCAAACGAACGTTATCTTGTGAGGTAACTATATTACTCATTAGCTACGTCTTGTTCTTTACTAAATCTACTGATTACGAAGGAAGCAACGGCGATGATGTAAACTTTTTGCTACCCTTAACTTTACATGGTTACCGCGTATTTTAAGAAAAGGAGCAAATAAGAGGCCCCATTGGTGAATATGTACTACCTTTGCTTTGGCCAATATAATGTAACATGGTGTAATCTTCACACCGACGTTGGCAGACTTCCTCCACTTTGGGCTAGCTAGCATGCTAAGACTACTTGAATAACGGAAGCTTTTGGTGCTTTTTATACAAACTTGCTCATATGTGCACGTGAGTCCGCAAGTGTCTCTTCAGATTTGACAACTGACTAAACTTCTTGCTGCATTCCTCGCACCCGTAAGGTTTCTCACCAGTGTGAGTCAGCATGTGAATCTCCAGATGACACAACTGACGGAACTGCCTACTGCACTCCTCACACCTGAATGGTTTCTCACCAGTGTGAGTCCGCATGTGAGTCTCCAGATGACCCAGCTGACTGAACTGCCTACTGCACTCCTCACATCTGTACGGTTTCTCGTCCGTGTGGGTCCGCATGTGTCTCTTCATACTACCCAGATCACGGAACTGCATGTTGCACTCCTCACACCTGTAGGGTTTCTCGCCCGTGTGAGTCCGCATGTGTTTCTTCAGATTACCCGACTCACTGAACTGCTTGCTGCACTCCTCACATCTGAACGGTTTTTCACCAGTGTGAGTTCGAACGTGCTTCTTTAGATCACCTAGCTCAAGAAACCTGCCACATTCCTCACACCTGTACGATTTCTCACCTGTGTGAGTCCGCATGTGTTTCTTCAGACTACCAAGCAGACTAAAGCATTTGTTACATTCCTCACATCGGTAAGGTTTTTCGCCTGTATGAGTCCGCACGTGTCGCTTCAGATCACTACGGTAGTGAAACTCCTTGCCACACTCGCCGCACTTGTGGGTACGCGGAGAACTCTGCTCTCCCTCCTCTTGTTTCGGGTGAGATTCACCTCTGGCCGCCATGTTGGTCAAACTGTTGATCCTAAAGGAAAAATGTAAAAATTTGAATACAATATATCAGATCAATGGAATTAATAATCGTGTATACTGTATAACATGTATACTATGTATTATTAGATAGCTTTAACAATGTCTAGAGTCAGAAGTTCAACGGTTAGGTGTAACAAGTCGATCGGTGTAATATAGCCAGCTGCCGCTGCGCCGCGTGCCTGCGAAGCTGGTGTGTTACGCCGAAAGGCGGTTATATCGGCTATACAAATACAGATACTTACTCTAACAAATGGTTAGGGGAAATAAGCTGTGAATTAAATGCATGAAGGTAGAATTCTTAAAGGCCAGGATAAGAGCAGAGATAGCACAACGAACATTGTAACCAAGATGGGTCAAAATGTAGACGGCGTAAATGGCAGCGTCTTCGGGCACATGGTTTGGTATGCTGATGGTCAAAGGAAACATTTCACAATTTTAGCAAAGGCAAGTATGAAAAGCAAATGTAGACACACATAAAGTTCTTCTTGAGTCTAACCTACAGGAAGATGTCACAAGGCAACGACATACCAAAAACAATACCTCAATTTTTCATTGGACATGAATATAGGATAACATAACGAAATCATAGTCGACACTTACCAAGATGCACTGACGCTCTAAAAGTACTGCACGATGTGTTCATAACGGCACAGATCCTCACGGCCGCGGAGTCAGTAATGATAGTAACAGAGTAGTCAGGGACGCGTTTATATAGGGACTGGGTGGGTGGATAAAACCGGTCCGGTGGGTTTTACTTGATTACGAAACAAAGGAAAGCACCATAATGATTTGCATAGGGAAGAATCAGACAACATCATTCTTAGAAAAAAAGAGACCGAGTTGGAGACTAACAATAATGTTGGTAATCATTAAAAACAACAACATATTACGTGTCTGAATTTAATTTTATTGTTGAAATTATCATATACGTTACATGTGCTGATTTGCATAGAGGAAATTAGACAACATCCTTTGGAAAAAGATCATCAAATAAGATACACACATTATTACGTGTTTTTATTTATTGGCAAAGCTAAGAGGTAGAAAGTTAACAAATCACTAGCACCTACGGATAGTTACAGAACACTTATAAAGGCAAACAACATTCAACAAACAGTCCACATTCGCATTTTTACACAAGACTTCTAGTTCTAATATACCGTGTAACTATGTCACTATTGTCTAAACAATCCACAGTCGCATTTTTACACAAGGCTTCTAGTTCTAATATACCGTGTAAGTATGTCACTATTGTCTAAACAATCCACAGTCGCATTTTTACACAAGACTTCTAGTTCTAATATACCGTGTAACTATGTCACTATTGTCTAAACAATCCACAGTCGCATTTTTACACAAGACTTCTAGTTCTAATATACCGTGTAACTCTGTCACTATTGTCTAAACAATCCACAGTCGCATTTTTACACAAGACTTCTAGTTCTAATATACCGTGTAACTCTGTCACTATTGTCTAAACAATCCACAGTCGCATTTTACACACGACTTCTAGTTCGGGATACTGAACAAGCATTCGTAATTTTACAATGGAGTCATGTACACTACTGAAAGAAAACAGTTAAACAAGAGGTCATATTGCCACAAGAGATCTACAAACCTCGCTACTGACTCAAATGATACCACATAACAGTAATACTTACACTGGAGGGTTTTCGTTGGTATGAGATTGCACTCAAGACTACTGAAATGCCAAAACATTTTGCTACATTTTCCCAACTGTACGATTTCTCACCTGTGTGAGTCTGCATGTATTTCTGTACAATTAATATGTCTTACTAAACTGCTTTCAGCGCTTCTCGTTTCAGTTCGAATCACCAGTGAGAGTGCGCATGTTCCTTCAGAAAGAAAGAACTTCATTGCACGACAATTGCACATGGTACAATGTATGGCAAACTACATACATGTAAAGAGAGTAACAACAATAAAATAAGTGTGTTGAATAAGACCTAATGTCGAATAAAACCTAACATCTCTATATCATAATCATTCAAATAATAAGGGATATCACAAGTCTTTGATAAAGCGTTACAATCGAGTGGCCTAATCACAAGTTTCGGTATTTTTTGTAATAGCAAAGCATTCCTTTATATATCTACCTATTTTTGCGTTGTGGGGACCATTACATGTAAAGATATATTCAAATCTGTCTCCAACATCGAGACTCTTGAAATCTTTGGTACTTGATTCGAGAAATGTAAATAGTTTGTTACGTATAACATCATATTTGGTACATTCCATAACAAAATGAAATCTGACTAAACTGCTTGCACATTCCTCACACATTTATGGTTGCTTGCCATTGTGACTTCTAATATGTTTCTTCAGACTACCCAGCTCACTGAACTTTCTGCCACACTCTTGACATCTTTGCGGTTTTTCACCAGTGTGAGTCCGTATGTGAGTCTTCAGATTACACAGGTCACTGAACTGTCCGCTGCACACATCACACCTGTAGGGTTTCTCACCAGTGTGAGTCCGGATGTGTCTCTTTAGATTTGACAAATGACTAAACTGCTTGCTACACGCCTCACATCTGTACGGTTTCTCACCAGTGTGAGTCCGAATGTGCTGCTTTAGATGACACAGGCTGTTAAACTGTTTGTCACACTCCTCACATCTGTACGGTTTCTCACCAGTGTGAGTTCTCTTGTGGTGCTTCAGATGACCCAGCCTGCTGAACTGCCTGCTGCACTCTTCACAGTTGTAAGGCTTCTCCCCAGTGTGAGTTCTCATGTGCTTCTTCAGACTATACAGCACACTGAACTGTTTGCCACATTCCTCGCATAGGTACGGTTTCTCTCCTGTGTGAGTCCGCAGGTGCTTCTTTAGACGACTAAGGAAGCGAAACTCCTTGCCGCAATCTCTGCACTTGTGGGTACGCGGAGAACTCTGCTCTCCCTCGCCTTGATTCGGATGTAATTCATCTGTTGCCATGGTGATCAAACCTGCAGACATAATATAAAACATCACAGATTTAATTTTGTTATAAGAACAAAAGAGGTACAATGAATGAATGAATGAATGAATGAATGAATGAATGAATGAATGAATGAATGAATGAATGTTTATTTTCGTGCCATTGCGATCATATGTCGCCCAGCCCATATGGGCTTATAAGGCACCGACAAAATACAAAATCAAAACAACTCAAAAGGTACAAGAGAGAATCAGATGTAACATAAATTATAACTTAACATAATATATAAGTAAAGAAATACAGGAAATTAAGTAGTACTGGTCATAGTACAGAAATTAAATCAAATGTAACGTAGATGATTAATAATAATAATTTAGGTTCAACCAAAATTGATAATGCATAAAAGTAACAAGAGGTAACTGTCACATGACTGTTACAAGAGGGACACCCAGATTTTCAAGGAAAACAACAAGAGCCTGCATTGCAAACAATAAAACCTATGTACAAAACATTAGAAAAGGGAAAATTAATAAAATCTCCTGAATCTGGTTTCATGCTTAATCAGTAACTTCTAAAAATGCATAGTTCGGCATGCTAATGATCCAAACGGCCAGTCAAGGTTACATAGCCAAGAATGAAAAGTAAGTCGTAATATAGAACTAACTTCCTTCACCCGCCGATTTGTAATATTACCTACAAGATGCACGAAGTAAAAACAACAAGACTGGCAATGAAAACATACATTGCCATGGCACCGGTGGTTGCTGTTAGGGTTATTGTTTGCATGGCACTGCCATGATTTAATGATTTTGAGGAAGACTTGGTACTAGATATGATACAGTGCACTCCTACCCTGAGTGTATAGTGAACGAGCCCCGGGGTCACAGAAAGTAGCTAGGGCCATCCGGGGCAGAGAGGTCTTCCCAAGGGTTCCAGGAATGTGGCCATAGATGTGGGCCAGAGACATGCCTGTGGACATTCCATTCCTGTGGACAAAATGCCTGTACCATTCCTAGAATTCTTGCAAACTGCACACAACACTGTACCATTAGGCTCCTCCCTTGGACATCGCCAAAAAAACAAGGAAACAAAAGAAAGGCACATACCAACTTGAATACGCACAGACGGTCCACAGTACTGCACGATGTTTTCACCAACACAGATCCTCACGGCTGCAGAGTCAGTACTGACAGAAACAGAGCAGTCAGGGACGCGTTTATATAGGAACTGAGTGGGTGGATAAAACCGGTACGGTGGGATTTTCTTGATTACGACACAAAGGAAAGTATTTTGTTACATCTGTCGATTTGCATATGGGAAATCAGACAACATCATTAGATAAAGATACAATCAGTTAGACAATAAGGATAAAGACAACAACATGCATATTATGTGTTATACTTTATTGTTGAAACTGAGGTCAAAGGGACGACTGCCTGCATACAACGGGGGCTGTTGCGTGTCAGTAAACTGTCTAATCGTATTCCATGGAAGGTCCATAAATGGCCATTATAGTAATTTGAAAATGTATCATTATCAAACACCTAGCTGTAAAGCTGTAAATTCCTCAATCACGCCAGCCAACCATGAATACGATCAATGGCCGTGTTTACGTGAAGTCACCCAAAACGCGATAACTCACATGTGCACCTTCCTCACATCTGGTCCACGTGCCACACAATCCTTTGAAACCGTGTCCCATCACAACTCGCCTGAGCTACACTTATTGTTGTTTGATGAAAACACGCAAGGTAGCGTGTTATTAATGTCAGAGGTCAGCGACATGCTTGCTGATGCCCCCCTCCCAGCGTATCTCGGCCGAATGCCGACGTGGTCCCGCCAGAGGCGGTGAAGCTCGTCCTAGAACGGACACATTATTTGACCATTACTACTCTTTAAGTTGCTGACACGTAAATTTTGGTATTGCATATAAATAAAGAAATATCACTCCGTAATCCATGACCAGGCGAAGTTACATTGAAATCACATTGCGTTCAGACGCAAATCGCGATGCGGGGAAACCGATTCGAAACCACCTCTAGAAGTGGCTTGGGATCGAGGCGCTTTCAATGTGATTTGGAACGTTCACATGGAGCCACTTGAAACCGGCTTCGGGGTAAACCACATGTAAAGCGCCTTGGGTGACTTCACATAAACACGTCCTTAGCTTAGACCAGGCTCCAACTAATGTGTCACGTCAGGGGAAAAGAATGCGTCTCACCAATGGGTCAAACACCTGTTCTTGTGTTGTGGGTGTCAAAATATATCCATACGTGCCGCACCAGAACTGTACTCTCTAGCAGACCAGAAAAGGGATTTTGTAATTGCACACCCACGATATATGTTTGGGACTATTTTAAAAATATTTCTGCCAAATTTTGCCCAGAAAGGCCATTTTTCTACAACTCAAAGTGAGATGTTAAGTTGTACTTGTCGTCGATGTTAAGGCCACATCGACTTAATTTTATGGATGACAAAATTAGTGCGCGCGGGCGAATAAAAAAAAATCCGGCCAAAAATAAAAATGCTACTAAACCACAGGAATACAAAGCTGGTGTTGTGAATTCGCGGCAGTACTTAGCGACGTATACGATAAGCCGGCACATGCTGGCTTTTTGCGGAATTTTTGAATCGACACTGTACGTAAGTACTGAGTTCTTGAGTCGTGGAGCTTCGGTAGCCTGGGTGCCAGAGTTATCACCGGCTCCGTATTGCCACTAACTACCATGGACTACCCAGGCCTATAGCCAGGTCAGAGCCACGGTGGACGTGATCTTTTTTTTTTTTTTAAGAACAGGCGAAAAATCAATGCGCGCGCGGATGTCATCCATAAAATTAAGTCGCGTGGCCCAAGATGACGAATCAGACTGATTTCAAGTTACAATGGAAAGATCCTAACACGTTTTCGGTCCATCTGAATACGTCTCTTTTGTTGAATAAACGTAGTATTAGCAATTTGCAAAAATAATCTATATCCAATTTTACATTGCAGACAATAACATCATGCTTGATGCGTCTGGACGCAATTCATACACTTAGGCCATACCAATTTAATTTCTTGGTTAACGGATTCGCCCGCTTCATATTTTACTGATTTGCAAATAAAACTGCAAAATGCTCATATTTTACCCTAAACAGTTGAAAACAGTCCTTTTCATCCTAGTTGTTACAGTTATTCCATCTTTCAATGCAGTGGTGTCATTAAAAGTTCAAAATTCATTGTTTAAATTTTGAACCAGCCTGGTGTGTTGACTTCATGGTTCCTATCGTACCATTTTGGGCCATAATAGGATGCCTAGGCCTGTTTTTATTTTTTAAATTTTTTTCGCCCGCCCGCTCCATTATTTTTCTAGAAAAATCCGTTAACCGAGAAATTAAATTGGTGTGGCCTTATATAAGATTTGTGCATACAATTGGCCTACTTTCAGTATTATATATATTATTTATCAGCTACCATTAAATAGAACAGTAGACTATCTAATATTTTGGTGCCCCAAAAAAACATGTACACCGAAACCTTTCACATTAGCCCTCAGCAAGTAATTTTCATGGATGACATCAGCGCGCTCATTAATTTTCGCCTGATTTTGGAGAAAAAAAAAACAATAAATTTTGTTGCCTTCTGACAGTGGTCAACGTGCCGAAAATAGGCAAAGATGTTTGTTGCCAGGTGGATTGCAGATAACTATGAAGAGAGGAGACAAGAAAAGGCTCTGATTTAATGTTTTGTTTCTTACTTTGATGCAGTGATATGTGATGTTTGCTATGTATATGTAATGTTCCCAATGAATCAAAACCATTTGTACGATGATTGAGTCAAAATTTCAAAATGTAAGAGCCTTGTTTTTTTCGGCTCGCCCTGTTTTTTTTTCGCCCGCTCGCATTAGATTTGGAATCTGTGGAGGATGTCATCCATAAAATTTAGCTGCTGTGGCCTTAGATTATTCTAAAGTGTTACGTCGTTTTGACTGGTATAAAGCAGAGAAGGGAGGTAGAGGATTAACATTACACTACAGATTGAACAACAAAACTGTAGTAGTGGGGTCGTGTGACGTAGCGCCAGAGTGCGCGACTCGGAATCGAGAGGTCCAGGGTTCGAGTCCTGACATGCCAACAATCTTGTGCCCTTCGGAAAGACACTTAACACGACTTTCCTCACTTCGCTCAGGTGAAAATGAGTATTGCCCTGTAGTGTATTTGTCCCCTGTGTTGGTGGCGGCATTAATATAAGTTGAAAAAACTTGAGTGTGCCGTCACCACGTCTGGTGATTACATGTTGGAATAAAAAAAAAAACTGTAGTAAGAGGTCACCAATCTGCCACGATGTCTGTAGTAGAACTAGAAGGCTCGTCTAATGGTGAAGACACTCGCGTCCCAGACGATAGCCAGGAAGAAAGGGAGAATTCTCACTGCTCCACACAGACAGATGAATATGGTGACGGCTTCATCGAGCCATATCTCACAGCTTATTACCTGGGGAATCTGGATGCAGAAAATCCAGGGGAGATCGCGTCGTCTCAACAGGAGCCAGGGTGCCATGATGCTTCTTTCTCGAAAGGTGAGATTTCCAATGTGTAATTTCATTCCGTAAATAATTTCATCAGGTTGGTAAACGAATGAATAGCAAAGTTCTTTGATCACAACCATTTATTTTTCACAAGCCGACGTTTCGATGACCTTCTGTCATCTTCATCAGGGCAATTCTGACTGGTTTACTAGTTTACTAGCTAGTTTTTACTGTTTACACAATTACACTACGTTCCGGAATGCATTGTTAACAGTAAAAACTAGCTTAAGTGCACTGTGAACTATGTAACACCTTCAGTGCACTATGCACATCTAGCGTCAGTGCACAGTACACCAGTCAGAATTGCCCTGATGAAGATGACAGACGGTCATCGAAACGTCGGCTTGAAAAATAAATGGTTGTGACCTTTACTATTCATGTAATTTTATTGCAAGAGTTAAGATTGACATTGTATGTTTTTACAAAAAAAAGGGGTAAAATGCAATACATATATAC